TTATAATAATACAAGATTGTGTGTTATAAAAACAAGTAACAACTGTATTTTTAATAACAAATTAGATTCAAATATAATATTATTATCACATCCTTGATCACATCACATCATATAATTTTCAAATTTACTTAAATGGGTATCTGTTAAAAACTAATTTAATATTTATATTCAAATTAAATATTTTATATTAATGTTTCTATCGTAATCAATATAATATTTCCATTTAATACATAATTTTTATTGATATGAATATTTCCCGAGTAATAAATATTAAGATTGAAAAGGCCGATCAAAGCTTATTTCCACCGAGCTCGTCCGAAGTTAAATTTCAATAGAATGAGTACAGACGCAGTGACTGGCAATCAAGCCGGCAGTCCCTCTAGAAATTTCAGGTAATCGCGGAGTAATCCCTATAGGTAATCGCATGGTGGTCCTGGTAATCGCAAAGAAATCTGGTAATCCCAAACAAATATCGAGAAATATTAGAAATCAACATAAAAATCTGATACAGATTACCGTTAGCGATTACTGATTACTGAAGTGAAGTCCCCCTCGGTCTAACGCAAACGAAGTATTTTCGTCTGGGAATAAGATGCAATTAAAGAATTAGATGATTTCAAGGAGAAATGGTTATTCCTGTAAATTAGGTATATTCGCTCCTTTTGGATGTCTTGATATTGAAAATTAAATTTAAATTATTAATTTAGTTTTGTATACATTTTCGTGAATCTAGCTTTGAATTTTCTGAAGTTTGGCGCGGTAAAATCATAAATGCGTTATATAATATGTATATTCATAATGGTAACATCCTGAACGTAAAGTTACTTTTATTAGAATTTCGCAAAATCACAGCTGAGGGTTTTTGCATAGGATTGTACTATATTCTGATCCTGTATAACAGAGAGAAGGTATACCGGCAATAAGAAAAAGCTCACGATTCAAGTCACGAGTGCAGTTTACGTGACGACTGTGTCGTGTTTCAATGTCCTGGTACCTTCTCTCCTTGACTTCCGGTAATGAAGACTGGCAAGTAAACGAAACACTAGAGTTTAATCAATAAACGATTGTCTCTTGCATTTTTTTTGTGCTTATATTTCTGTATTCTACCTGGCACCTCAAGGTGTTTAACTGTTTTTTTTCCATTTCTGTAAACAATATTGCGGATACAAATTTTGATTGAGTAACAAATACTACAAGGTTTAATTTTCTGTCAGTTGATTAGAAATATTTTACTAATTTCAAATAGTTAATATGAATTGCAGAGGTAATATACGAAGTTTTATGTCACTTTTATAGAAATCGTGAAAATTTCCAATAACCACCCTTGAAATCGTTTAAGAAGATGTATTTTACACCTGTTTGCAGCATCTGCAATCGCTTTGGATTTGGAATTCAAATTTATATCTTCAAACAACTATAAAACTTTGTATATATGCTTTGAGACTAGAGGCCAAGTTATGTTATTTTCCATTGTATAAAATCAGTTAAACTTTACGATCAATAAAGTCAATTGAGATCTTTTTAAATTTATTATTTTGTTAATATATTTATTTCTTTTTTTAATTCTAATGATTATATACATCTCAGAAGGAGATCCTAAAAAGCTATTATATTTTTTTAAACCTGTTTTATTTACAAAGTGGAAGCCTTCGAATTAAGGGGATAGGTTGGAAACGAAAATGCTAATTGTAGATGAATCAAAAAAATTATTGTATTCACACTTTTACAAATCTCTCTCGTAAAAACTGACGGGTTATGATCTTTAGTTCAAATATTTAATCCCACTAAAAGCAGAATTAAACACTTGTTACGTAATGCAACATAAATAATTTAAAAAATTTTATAACAATAAAAAGAATTAAAACAAAATTTAATCCAATAACTCTGGAACGATTTTAAGTAGCTTAAGGGGTTACACCACTATAGGAGGCTGAAATTTAATGTTTTTTTTGCTATTTTTTTCGGGGAAGGAGAAATAGGAACATAGTTAAATTGAAGGATATTGTTAGGCATATTTTTATGTTTCTAAATTACAAATAGTACTTTTTGTTCCCCAAAAAATAGAATGTTTTGTTTCCCAATCAAAAAATTACACGTGTAATTACACGTGTAGATTTGGTCACCTGTAATTACACGTGTAATTTGTCCTTTGAATTTAAAAGTTATTTTTCAAAAAATTCCACGTGTAATTCATACTTTGAAATTTTTAAAAATTTTAAGAATTTATTACACGTGTAATTGATACTTTAATATTTCTTGAATATTTTGTAAACTTTTACACATGTAATTATATGTGTAATTCATACTTTGGAACTTTTTTATATTTCAAGAATTGTTATACGTGTAAATACACGTGTAATTGATACTTTACATATATCTCGAATATTTTAAAAACTTTTTACACGTGTAATTGATTTTTTGACATTTCTTAAATATTTTATTAACTTTTACACGTATAATTTTAAAAAAGTTTCAAAGTATGAATTACACGTGTAATTACACATGTAAAAGTTTATAAAATATTCGAGAAATATCAAAGTACCAATTACACGTGTAACAAATTCTTGAAATTATAAAAAAAATTTAAGTATGAATTACACGTTTAATTACACGTGTAAAAAGTTTATATAATATTTGAGATATATTTAAAGTAGGGGAATAGTGTCAGGGTTGGACACAGTTTTGGTTTTTTGTTTATAAATATTTTGTTTAGATAAATTCAGTCAATTGTGGTATATGGGTGGAAAGATCTACAAAAGAGGAACACTTTTGCTGTGGACCGTAAATTGATTGGTCCAAAATTAAAAAAGTTATAAACATTAAAAAAAAAATCTAGTCAGGGTTGGACTTTTCAGTCAGGGTTGGACACTTTTTAAAAATCGAAACGCATTATTGGTAAAAACGTAAAATAACATTTGTAATGTTTTTTATTCTTATTTTTTCATGTTTATCTTTACTTATTCTTTACAAATTGTAAAGCTTCATGGGTTTAAAAAAGGAATGAACTCAAATTACAAAAAATATCGCTTTATTGTTCCAAATAACTCAATGAAATGATGAACAAAATTTATACAATTTAAGTTTTATTTTTCTATTATCTTTGGCACAATTTTGCACTGAAATATCAATAAAATAAAATTTATTTGTATATTTATTTATAAATTGTGTCAAATTCATAATTAATATGGGTGTCCAACCCTAACTAGAAGCATCATTTTCGAATTGTGCTAACCATAACCAGACATGTGTCGCGATTCGATTTTTCACTTTTTTTCTTCTTAAATTATGTACCCCACAATACATTCAATAAGCTTACCTTGCCGAATTCTTGCTTTTTTACACATTTTTTAGGTTTATTCACAAGTCAAACAAAACTTTTTTTATCTCTTCGATTGCACCGAAGTCACAGGAGACGCTACTTTTGATTCTCCAAAAATGTAATGCCACAAAAAGTTAAGTTATACTACTAGAAGATTCGTCACGTACGCACACAGGTGGCGCTAGTGTTCTTATTTAAAAAAAGCCAAGTGTCCAACCCTGACACTATTCCCCTATCAATTGCACGTGTGTAAATTATATGTGTAACAAATTCTTGTAGTTTAAAAAATTTTTAAAGTATGATTTACACGTGTTATTACAAGTGGAATTTTTTTGAAAAATAACTTTCAAATTGAAAGTACGAATTACACGTGTAATTACATGTGGTCAAATGTATACACGTGTAATTTTTTTGATAGGGTTCAAGCGTTTGGCCATAATTATGTAATTACATTCCATAATTTTGTAAAATGTAAAACAATTTTATAATAAAATCACAAAAAAGAATTTCAATTTATCTCATTAAAAGTACTTAATAAATTTAAAAATATGAATAAAATATGAATTATTTTATGATGGCCTTAAGGAAATTTCCCTTATGGTCGCTTTTTCTAGACTTTTTGTCTCGCGCGCTAACCTCTCAGGATTCAAAGCTGGTCCTAGTAGTAGAAAAAGAGATAAAGGTGTATGAAATAACGCTGAGAAAAAGATAAAAAAAAAAAAAAAAAAAAAAAGTTGGGAAAAAAAGAACAGAAACGTAGAGAAAGAGAGAGAGTTGGTGGAAAATGAACAAGAGAACAGACAGTGGTATAATGTCTCATGCGACGTGCGGTAAAGGCAACCATAAGAAATGCATATCAGAAGCAAGATTACACTGCGATATATAAAATAGTAAAATTATACGAGAGAATACTTCCTCATATGATACGTGTGTATTGTGTGAGAGCACATGAAAGGAAGAGTTTTCACCATATGTCCCTTGAAAAATACATCAACCCTGAATATATGAGCGTTTCAAACATTTTACTTTATTTTAACTTGACAAAGAAGACTAATTAGTTAAATTTTCTGAAACTAAGTAATTAAATGATATGCTAATTAACTCGAATTAAATTTCATTTTAGAGTGCCTGCTTTCTGCACTAAATTCACCCAAATATATATATATATATATATATATATATATTATAAAAATAGTAAATGAAATATTTTTTTTCCCAAACTATTTTTAAACTACGTTATTAATATAATTTTTTAAAAAATTTAAAATTACTTATAAAAAAATTAAATTTTATTAAATATTCTTCGTTTTTATTAAAATTATTTATAATCGAAAATATTTTCTAAATAATAAAAACAAGTTTATGTAATTATTTCTTTTCTGTTTTTTTTTTTTTTTTTTTTTGAAAATTTTTGTATTCTTTCTTCAAAAAGGTGTGGAAATACGTGCTCATCTCCTCGCAATTCCAAGTTGAAACGAGCACATGAGTCGAGGGACCGTCATAACTTATGTTAGTTATTAAGCTTAGCTGTGAGGTCATAAAGCGTTATGTTACGAAATTCATACCTTCAGCAGTTTCACATTTGCGGAAAGAATTCGCCCACAAAAGCACTGGTTGCTGATAAAAAATACATTTTAATGTGAAAAATTCATTTACACATAAAAATATACATGCACCCAAATTGTGATGTGTATTTTCTTTTAATTTCATTTTTTTTAAATTTTATTTCACATTTTTTTTTTTGGAAAATAAGTAAACAGCAAATTTTAATATTATTAATTAATTAATTAACACAAAAAACGTCAGAACAATAATTACAGATTATGATGAATTAGTTGCGCACAAAGATGCGCAGAGAAAATATCCTATAAACGAAAAAAGGTCTGAGAGACCGCTATGGTAGTTAAGAGATTAAAATATTAATTTCCTCACACGTGTTACATATATTCATTAAAAAATAATTTTAAACAAATAAAATTTCATTTAATTAATACTTAAATATTGAATTAATATCTTTTGAAATTTCTCAACATTCATTGTAATTGCCGTTAATGCATTAAATGATTTTAGTTCTTTAATATTTCGTTCAACAAGAATTCCTCCTCTCCCTTCTCCCTCACGTATTGGAATAATTTGTAATTTCAAATAATTTGTATTGACTATATCATTTGGCCATAAAGCAATAGCAACAGTTCTTGGATCGGCTGATGACCAATAAAGATTTTTTGTTTCTTGAAAAATATTTTCTGCTTTATTTAAAAAATTGATTGATGATGAATTTATATTGCCCAAAATTATTTTCCTCCATTTCTATATAGTAAAAATTAAAATTTTTTTTAAATATATATTGGAAAGTAAGTTATTAATTTTGGGAAAAAAATTTAAATTTTTTAAGGCTATTTACCAAATACATTGGACTGCTTAATGAGACTTCGCGTGGTACAAGAATAATTGGTTTTTTTGTGGATTCCATTAATATTGAGTTACTATCTGGATCAGAACCAAAATTAAAATCAACACCAGGTGATATATTGCCCCAGCCAGTGATAGTTGATCCCATAACAACTAATTGGCCAACATTTGTTATAAATTCTGGGTCAAGGCTGATAGCCAGTGCTATATTTGTTGTAGGTCCAAGTGCAATAATTGTTACTTCTCCTAAATATCGAAAAATAATATTATTTTCCTATAATTTTACCCACTTGGGTAGATTCCCCTGAAAGTGCCCCCTGGAGATTTCATCAGAATTCCGTCGAAATTTCATCGGAGTTCCAAAGAATTGCCGATGAGATTCCGACGGAATTCCGATAAGATTCCGATTAATTCTTTTTTAATTTTTAGAGTCCTACATTAAGAAAATTATTATTATTATAAAATAGAATTTTTATCATAGAAACTTAACTAAAAAATTTGATTTTTTATGAAATATTATCTTAGTGTATGGCTCAAAAGATAAAAAAAAATCGTTTATGTATTAAAGAATTTATAAATGAAAAACATAAAACAAATTCAAACAATGTTCTTCAACTTGATAGATAGATTTAATTTAATTTTTCTTTATTCAAACATTTACATTATTTTTTTCCACTCAACTTGTTATTGTTATTATTATCAAAATTATTAATAATTTAGAGAAATAAAAATTCTATTTTATAATAATAATAATTTTCCTAATGTAGGACTCTAAAAATGAAAAAAGAATTAATTGTAATTGCATCGGAATTCCGTCAGAATCTTGTCGGGATTCCATCGGATGATGAAATTCCGATGAAATTCCGTTAAAAGTTCCAACGGAATTCTGATAGAATCTCCAGGGGACGCTTTCCGGGGAATCTTTCCAAGTGGGATAATTTCAAATTAAATTATTTAAATTTTCTATTTTGAATCGATGAAGAATTAGTAATTAATTAATTATAATTAATATTAATAAATTAGAATTAATTATAATAGTAATTAATTAAAATTAGTAATTAATTATAATAGTAATTAATTAAAATTAGTAATAAGTAATTTTCATTTTGGAAAAATTTCAAATAGAGAATTTAATTTAGTAGAAGAAAGCAAATTAATTCCCCTTCAGCTATTGCTGATTCATGCAAAAATTTTAATTTAGTTTCATTTTGTTTATTCAACCCAGATTTATTTGATAAATTATGTTTTTCTATTTTTGAAATGTATAATTAGCATTTATATAATTGGTACACTCGATGCCAATAACTGATAAATATGTAATCATCTAGAGAAATTTTTTTAATTCATATTTTAACTGAAATTTAATTTCATCGAATTCTCATTTAACAGAATTTTAAGTGACACAATTTTTTTAGAAAAAATTTCCATTTCACTGAATTTTTATTTATACAAATTTTTTGAAAACAATAGAATTTTTAAATCGTGAATTTTTTATTTGAAAAAAGTAAAAAAATTTCACCTGGATATGTTTTAACTAAATCTGCCATGGCTGTAGCTGCATGTTGGGATTTATTAATTTTAACTGTAATTGTTTCATTAAATTTAAAATCATTCATTCCATCTTCTCCAAAATAGTGGGTAGGTGCCCATTTTTTAATCAATGGTTTATGAGCACCGGAATAAATAGGAATCTAAAAATTTATAATAATTGGATGTTTACATTCAATAATTAAATGTGACGCACTCTGAAAAAAGTGACCCTAGGAAGCAAAAATTTATAGATTATTATGTTTATGATCCCTCATAACAAAAGGATATCCCTAGGATATCCATAGGATATCCATATCAATGGTCGATATCCTAGAATGGTCCCCAGGATATCTTGGGATATCCTTAGGATATCCCTAGGATATCCAAACCGCCGGTCTGTGGGACATCAACAGGACATCCATAGGATATCCACAGGATATCCCTAAGACATCCACAAAATATCTATTGGATATTATATCGTACTCGTAGTCTCATAATGACTTTAAAAACAGTATCCTGAGAATATCTTCTTGACATCCAGAAGATATACTGAGAATATCCTGAAAATATCTGTGGGATATCCTGACGATATCTATGGGATATCTGGAGGACATTTATGAAAGTCTATAGTGATATCCAGAAGATATCCTGTGAATATCCTCAGATATCCATGGGATATCCAAAGGATATCCAAACCGACAATTTTTTGGATATCCTTAAGAGATCCTTTTGATATCCATAGGACATCCCTAGGATATCTGCGGGATATTATCAATATATCCCACGATATCTTGTGTTATTAGGGATAGTTTTATCTTAATTAAAAGTTCCTTTTTAATTTTATATAAAAACAACATCAGTTTTTATTGAATATTTTCGATGTAATGAATAAACTAATTAACTGATTAATTAATTAAATAATTAATGCCATTAATTAATTATTAATATTTTACTTACATCGTTTCTTCCAGCAATAGTTAAAATTTTCTGAATATTTACTTCAACATTTGATATATTTGTATTACCGTATGTACAAGTAATGGCAATAATTTCAATTTCCCTTTCTGCTGATTCATATTTAAGAGCCAAAAGAATACCCACTGCGTCATCTCCTCCAGCATCAGTGTCAATAATTATTTTTCTTTTTCTTGATACATCATTTACACTTGAAATCCCATGTCTTATTTTAAAAAAAAAAATACCAATATAATTTTTACTAATGGTATATATACATAAAATTATATTTTATAATTTAAAAAATTACTTACTTTGTTGTTACAACAATGATTAAGAAACATTTAAAAGCCAAAAATTTCATTCTAAAAGAAAATTTTTTTTTAATAAAAAACAGTTTTCTTTCACATATAAGTCATTATTAATAAATGATAATGCAAAATATTTAATTTTATTATAATTAATTATAAATATATCATATAAAAGAAATTTATTAAATTAATTAATTTATATTTATAATTAATCTCTTTAATTAGAAATAAGTTTTTTTTTAATAAATCTATTTTTACTATTCAAAATTTTATACTTTTAAAATCTTGCGTTATTTTTTAATCTTATTTCCGTCGTCACTACAAATTGATTCAACACATACTGAAGTAATTTGTGATTTCGTATTTCTTTGATTATTTATTCTTCACGAATTTAAAATTCTTGTGTTCAAAAATGATTTATCATACAAGTGGGAGTAGGAGATTTTTGAAGATTGCCGATAGAACGATTTAAAACGAATATTTTTTTTTCTCTAAATACTTTTCATTTAAGTGAAAATATGTATATTCATCAATATTAATTTATAGGAACAATTAATTTTAATTTTAAAATTATAACAATAATAATAAATTTAATAATTAATATTTAATAAATAATAATAATAATTAATAATAATAATAATATTCTAATTAATAATTAATATATAACAATTAATTAATCTACCTAAATATATTAATTAATTATTGAGACAAAAAAAATTATTGAATAAATAATTATTGATATAAAAGATGAAAAAAATAACCTTCTTAAATTCCTTCGCATGATTTTTATTTCATTTTATTCAATCACTTTTGATATTATTATACAGCAAAGTTTTCTTTATTTATAAATTCTGTTACTGCATTTGAGAACTGATTATTTTTTATTGCTACTAAAGAATTTCAACGACATAAAATTATTTTATTTTCTTTTAATCTGAGCATGCACAGCAGGTTCTCATACTTTTCTGCGTCTAATAAAATTTATTACTATTACTTTTTATTATTATTTTATAATTATTATTATTATTATTATTATTATTATTATTATTATTATAAATATTATTGTTATTATCATTTTGGTATTATATAACGTTGTAAATGTTTTTGTTAATTTAAAAATTTACAATTTTTTTTTTCATAATCAAAAGGTAAATTTTGTCTTGTAATATCAGTTATTTACAGCGATTTAGAGAAAAAATATTTCATAAGGCATAATTGTCATAAAATTTTATTATTTTAGAGAACATACAAGAAACTTGAGAATTGTTAGTATTAAATAAAATTTTTTCCACTAAAATGTTCATACTTTTTTTTTTATTTTATAACAATTTTATCAAACACGAACCTAAATATAAATTAATAATTTTTTTCCTTTTTTTTATTGGAAAGTGAAATTTTTAAAGAACGATAATTTTTTTAAACATTTCATAACTGAATCTATTAAAATTAAAAATAATGCAATATTAAAAAAAAAATTGAAAAATTTTTAAAATTAAAATAAAAAAATTAAAATTGAAAAATTAAAATTGAAGAATTAAAATTGAAAAATTAAATTAAATTGAAATTAATGAATAAATTTTTGTTTAAATAACTATTACAGAAAATCACTTATACAAATAGTTCATGTAACATAAATTTCAAATATCAGTTGTACATACATTCTATTCTAATCAAAAGTAAATAAAATATAAATTTTTTTGCTATTCGTCTTAGATTTTTATTTTTTATTTACTTTTTATCTATTAAATCATATTATATACACAGATTATGATAAAAATTTAGATTAAAATTTAAAAATCTATATTTTGAACCTACTCTTTCATCCATAAATGTTTAAATAGACAAAAATCAATTTTAGTAAAAAAAAAAAAATTATAAATACCTACTCTTTTTGGGAAACTTAATTTAATAAATATTTTTTTTAGTTTTTTACTATTCATTTTTCTGAATCAAAAAAAAAAAAATTTTTCAATTGGTAAAAAAAATTCTACACTTGAAATACCCTATATTTATTTCCCTATGAGTGTAAATATTTTATTTCATGTATAATTTAGATTCAGAATAGATATAAGTAGACTATTAAAAATAAAACTTATTTACTTTATTCTGAAATTCATTATCATCATCATATTTTTTCTTTTTTTGATAATAATTCTAATTATAGAAAAAAAAATTATGTCACGTTTGCTATTTACTTTAGTGCCAAACGTGAAAGAAAGACCATAAAAAAGTTGATACAATATCTGGTCACAAATATAAATTCGATATTTTTATGATCTTTATAAAAATAAAAAAGCAGTATAAATCGATATTATTTGCAGGTGATGCTGTTAAATTTTACGTCAACCCACAATATCTGATTTTTTTTATCAATTGTACTGTATCTTTTTCTTTTTTTACTTTTCAAAAATGTTTGCAAAATTAATTCATCATTGAATTGTTGCTCGGAAGTGATTTTTAAAATTCACTTCGATTCCTGTGAATTTTGTTGATTGTATAATCAAATTTTACCGAGAAGAATCTTTAATAAAGGTTCAAATTGCAAAATTCGAATTTTCCCGCCTTTTATCGTCTGCTGTACCAAAAACCTAAATTTGGTCTATATATAAAGGCGGTTCCAGAATAGGTGCAAAAACCAAGTACAAGTGCAAGTCCAAGTGATAATCCTATGAGTGCGAAAGAGATAGGTAGTCTATCTATCTATCTTGCACTTATGGGATTTGCATTTGGACTTGCACTTGTGTACTTGGCTTTTCACCTATTCTGGAACCGTCTACTAAATTTTCACTAGAGCAGGGTGCGGTAGTTGACGAGAATTATGACAAATGGCGAGTGGGAACTTTGGCGAGTGGGGGACAATGGAAACCAACCAAATCATCAACCCGACACTCACGATGGACGTTTTGAACAAATCCAGTTAAATAAGGCCAGGTCCAAGTGAGACAGCGCCATCTACATTGAAACTAAAATTTTGGAAAATTTTCAACAGCCTTTTCTTGAAAACAAGAAGGTAAAATGCTTTTTCCTTTATGGATAATTGATTATTGGCAAGATATACACCAGCTAAAACTTTATTTGAGTTAAAATAATGAAAAAAATTTCATGTCGATAAATTAAATATGAGCACTTTTTTCACAAAAACTGTAACAGTACTTTCTCAGAAATTACAATCAAAAATGCAATTTCCATTTGGAAAATTAATAAACGCTAAAAAATACACGACCTAAGATTTACCAATCACGAAAATAACAAAAAAAAAGTATTTTAACATAACATATTTTACTCATTATGACAGCCGTTTGGCAGGTTATATATGTCACCAGACGTTTCGCAGTTTTGCCGAAAGGAGGAGATTGGCGCTGTTGCTAACCACCTGAAATACATAATCTACCAAAGGGCTGTCACAATCAGTAAAGCCGTATCAATATGTTAAATATTTAATAAAATTTTTTTTTCTTATTTTCGTGATTGGTAAATCTTAGGTCGTGTATTTTTTAGCGTTTATTAATTTTCCAAATGGAAATTGCATTTTTGATTGTAATTTCAGAGAAAGTACTGTTACAGTTTTTGTGAAAAAAGTGCTCATATTTAATTTATCGACATGAAATTTTTTTCATTATTTTAACTCAAAAAAAGTTTTAGCTGGTATATATCTTGCTAATAATCAATTATCCATAAAGGAAAAAGCATTTTACTATTTTGTTTTCAAGAAAAGGCTGTTGAAAATTTTCCAAAATTTTAGTATCAATGTAGATGGCGCTGCCTCACTTGGACCTAGCCTTAATAATGTATTTATAGTCAAAATAATAAATACTACTCGACTTATACGAAAACTGAGAAGACTTTCGTCATTTCCTAGGGGTCAATTACATAACTTTTTTCGGACCCCACATTTCGTATTCCACATTCCGGATTTCACTTTCAAAATTCGGTATTATACATTTCGGATTCCACTTTTCACATTCCGTATTCCACATTCTGAAAGTGGAATCCGAAATGTGGAAAGTGAAATACGGAATGTGGAATATAGAATTTGGAAAGTGGAATCCGGAATGTGAAAAGTGGGATCCGGAATGTTGAATCTGGAAAGTGGAAACCGGAATAAGGAATCCGGAATGTGAAAAGTGGGATCCGAAATGTGAATTTTATTCATTCAAATATATTCTATTTATATTCTATTTCATATTGCTTTAAGAAAACGGAATTAAAAGGAATTCAAGTTTGCTGATATCTATTTCTTACATGACTTACATAGCAAAAAAATCTGGTATTAAATGGAATTGATTTTTTTAATTCCAGCCTTCTTGCTGGGAATGAAGTCCCAGTCTTGATGGAAGAGTCTTGAGAGATAAGATAAGAAGAATCATCATTATTTCGATTAATTAAATAAATTCTAATTTGCGCAGGTATCATAATTTTACTTTTCTTTATGTACAAAAAATAATAATTACATCTTTAACTTTAACAGAGTGAGAAATTTTGAAAATATCTTTCTTTAGATAGCAGTACACCACTATTTTTGCATGAAATCCTGTTATCATAATATTGTATATAGTTTTTATTTAAAAAAAAAAGATAAGAAGTTTTCAAACCTATAGAAATGCGATATGCACATGCTATGCTAAAACGTAGATCTTTAGGTTATTTTTGACGATGACGGATAGTATCCGATTATTCCAGGCAATTTATCTCGTCCTTTTCTATTTTTTTTTCTTCTTTTAACTGTCTTTAAGCTTTCCTTCTCTTTTATTTCACCTCATCCTTATACAAGAGTGCAACGCAGGCGGTATAACTTAAAGAAGAAGTGCCAACACTTAAGTAACTATCTGCTTCCTCGTTAGTTCCTCTTCGATAATACTTATCAACACTTTTTAACTTTGTCCCTTTCTCTCTTATTCCAAGTCTCATTTCTGTATATAGAAAAAAAAGTTTCAATAATCAACTTTGATTATTATCAAGTTTTGAATTAAACAGAAATAAAAAAAAAATTCACTTACAATTAGAGTTCATCTGTTTAAATTCCGACTATAATAAATTAAAAAATCTAGATTAAAGGTTATTTAAACTTTTATGTATATCATATTCCCCTTTGCAAACTAATTATTATTATAGAAGGTGATGACTTAGAAAAAATATATATTTTTCTACATTATAACAAAACATGGTGTCTTTCAGAGGGTAAACCTAATTATCTTGATATGGGGCAATGGGATATGATCAACGTTGATATCTTAATAATTATTTTCAAAAATACAAATTTGCTTAACTTAAATATGTTAAATTATCTTGAATATACATTTCTGTTAAGCATTATATCTTTTTGTAATACTATAATCATAATCAATTATAATTAATAATACTTATCTTACGAAATTCTACAGAAAACAAATTTTAAACAAATGTGTCTATAAAATAAATTCACTATTTAAATTGAGCAAAAATCTGAATTAAACATTAAAATAAAAATATCTTATTAAAAAATTGTAAATTGCATTCCATTAAAATGTAGGATATAATTCGGATAGAATCTCCATAGAAAGGAACAACATTTAGTCAAAGCGTGACGTTTTCTATATATGGAACTTGAAACGAATCTTTAGTACTTAAATAATATCTGTGCCAAAAGAAATAATCATTGAGATGCTTTCGATCTGTTGGAGAAAAATTAATTTTTGCCACGACTGGTTTTGTTATAAGTTGTGATATTTTCGTGACAATTTCTGTTGTAATGATTAGCTGAAAAAATGCTTGATTTGAAATTCCAGCTTTAAGCCTACCATGTAATAGATTAAATAAATTTATTTAAAAGCGACGGAATTTTGTTATTTTGCTGATGTATTATTAAGAAATTAGTCTAAAAAATTTTATATTCCTTTTGTCAATCGAGGATGCTAAAGTAATGGCATGTTTACTATATTAATAGTTTTAAAATTATTATCTTTTTTATTTGTATTAAAATTATAATCCAAAATTTTCAATAGTACGTATATATTCTCAATCTGTTTGAAATATATCTATATATAGATGCAGGTTGAAAACAGTTATCTCAGATTGGTAATTTCCAAAGGAATCCTATACTCTCAAGTAACATAATGTTTGCCAAAATTACCATCTATCAACACATAGGAGAGAATTACTGTATGTAGAACGTTTCATACACAAGGAACAAGTTTACTCCGGTTGACAATGAAACGGTTCTCTCCTTCAACTAAGTTTCCCGTCCCATTACCTATAGCCACTACTATCGAGGCTCAGTCATGGTACCTACTTGGATTCTGCCTTTGTATGGCAGCAAATGTTATGTCAAAGTGAATTTACATTGCGGTGTATTGCGTAACCACCCTTTCCATCCCTACACGAAATTGCTGTTCGATTTCTCTCCCGCACCCTCTGTGTATAAGAATAGAAATCTCAGTACCAACAAAACTTTTATAACTCTCTGCAATAAAACTTCAACATTCACCAAATACTTCATACTGGAAAAACTCATGAGATACTCAAGTGTGTTTCGAATCGATGCTTTCAAGTTGAAAATGTCTATTACGATATTTTCTCATTTGAGTGGATAGCCAGCGATACGAGTAAATATTATAACACGTTTGTCGATTCAAATAATTGATAAATGTTTATTTTTCAGTGCAATATGCATTGATATTTATCTACTTTTTGAGTTCATAATTATCTGATTGTTTTTTTTTTAATTTACTGATGGGCGGAAAATAATTTTTAATCGTGCTCATTTCCCGGACATGTACTTTTTTCAATATCTGCAGATTTTGTCCCACCGGTTGTCCGATTTTTGAATTATAAGTTTTTAATAGAAACAATTTTAATCTGAATTAAAAAATTTTCAAGAATGCAAAACTGAAAAGTTCACAGAAAATTAAAAGGCATTAAAATAAGCTGCAACGCTTATTATTTTAATCCAATTTTGCTTATTTTAATCCATTTTGGTATTAAAATAAACAAAATTGGATTAAAATAATAAGCGTTTTAGCTTATTTTAATACCTTATAATTTTCTGTGTTGTGATTGAACCTTTATTTATTAAAGACTTTCAGTTAAAGCTACACTAGACCATAGTGAAGCTAAATTCAGTCATAATTGGCCCCCAAATTAATTATAGCAGTGCCGGTGTCAGTTCAAACATATAGCGTTCGTGAAATTCGTTGATTGTACGTTTAAATTAGAAAAGAAGAGGACCTAATTGTAAGTTTCTATACCAAAAATTTTGTAAAAGTCGTCAGTTATATGGAATTATAATGGAGTTTGTTCCTATAAGTAAGTAAAAATTATAATATTAATAAAAAAAATATACCATATCACTGTAAACTGGATGGTATCATTTTGGAATGCAACGTTTTGATTCGTTATAAGGTATCAAATTGATCCAAATATTTGGATCATTTTCAAGAAATGATCGATAATATGGGATCATTTTTTGATACCTGAATTGGTATCAAAGTATAACTGTCATGGCTGGCATGCTCTTATTGACAAGTTTATTAATTAATTTATTCACTGCACTGAATATTAAGATATTAAAAATACTTTTATTATGAATTTTAAGAAAGAGAGAAGCGAAAACTTATAAATTGCGAGCAATTAAATAAGAAAAAATTTATTTCGAAATAAAATAAAATACACTAACCTTTATTTATGTTTATCACATAAGATTTAAGTTAAGTTCACAATCACAAAACTTGAAAATTTTTAATTATTTTTATGGTTCAAATACTTATCAATAATTTATATATTATAAATGAACAAAATTTAAGCAATGCACGCTTGATAAATATTTCTAATACGTTGTCAATTAATGCAATTAATAATTTCCTTTTACACAATATCATAATCGACATATATGACATTTGTAAACAAACAGGGTTGGGAAACAAGAGCCCAAAATATATTCGTCCAAAGCGAATTTCAATCCTACCCAACTCTGTTTTGGACGAACATATTTTGGACTCTTGTTTCCCAACCCTGTTTGTTTACAAATGTCATATATGTCGATTATGATATTGTGTAATAGGAAATTATTAATTGCATTAATTGACAACGCATTAGAAATATTTATGAAACGTGCATTGCTTAAATTTTGTTCATTTATAATAAATAAATTATTGATAATTATTTGAACCATAAAAATAATTAAAAATTTTCAAGTGTTGTGATTTGTCATTCGTAAAATTGATAGAATTTCTTTATATTAGGGTCTTTTCTCACGGTTCATATAAAATGTGTCACAATTATTATCAATATTGTTATTTATTTTTTCCCTTCATCGAGGGAAATGAAAATGCGCAGTTTATTAGGGTTGTATTCACATTGAGTTTATTCACACAATGACATCACTTAATCATAAATGTGGAGTTTAATAAAGTGAAAAGAAATCAATTTTTAAAATGTCTATATATATTCAATTTCCATTAGTTTTATATATATAATATTACTCCGCAATTTTCTGTGTTTTATAAATTTCCATAGACACAATGTTTGGATTTTTGTAACGGTAAATTAGAAAAATGCATTAATTTAAGTTTGCTGTTGTTACTGGTTATTATTTTTTTATTTACTTCTTTTAAGCATCGGGGACAATCATGAAATTTTTTTTATTACGATAGATATACACAAATATCCACATTACAATTTATATAGCTTTTGCGGGACTTGTGACGATTAGCAAATAAGTTCCGACTGAAAGCTCGCTTCGTATTATATTAATTATATCAGTTTTCACTTTCCTATCATGATTGCAATATGGCCGTTACGGATCTTATCAAATTCAACACGCTTACAGTTATATTTACGCAAGTAGGTGCGAAGTGTTTTAAAGCACGCGTCGCGTGCACAAAACAAAATGTCTGCATTTACAACTCATTATAAATAAAATAACAAGTAATATAGTCACAAAAAATAAGTGACGAATGATGCAATCATATATATATATATATATATACAACTAGAATATTTATGTTTAGATTCAGGTTTACCTGTACCATGCAAATTGAAAAATTATCTTATCGTAGAGCAACAGTTATTTGAGGTTATGTCATTGTTATTGGTGTGCAGCTGTCAACCAAAGGATGTATCACGACTTACTATTTATTTAGTTACATGCCGTTACGCAATTTTTGAAGATAATTACGGAATTTTAATAATTATTTCAATTGACAATAATAATTATCATATCAAATATTAAATTCACCATCACATCACGAAAAAGAGTGAAGTTTCCTATATTTTGAATTTTCAATAGGAGTGACAGAGACTTTTGCAATAAAATTAATTATGTCAATCAACATTGATAAGTCAGAAACAAAATCAGCAAAATTAATTATGTCAATCAACATTGACCAATCAGAAACTACTCTACGAGGACATTGGAATGAAATGAAATGAGATTTTTTTTTTAAATTTATACCCCCTCCCTTTTTGTGAGATTTTTTTGTAACTCCCCCCCTCCCCAGTTTTTAATACTTTATTTTGACATAAGGAATGTTTCTTTAAAGTGAATCAATGGATTTTAGTGAATAAATTTAAATATTAATTTTTGTCATTTTTCTTGAATTTTCAGACCAACTTCGAGAAGAAGGAGATAAACTAACCGCGAGAATTTTGATTTGCTTGACGTAGTACATGCATAAACTTTATTGCACGAAAAATACTATTTTAACAAATGCTAGTTCAGAATAGACGGTGGCGCCCTGAATTAGGGTAAAATTTGTTGCCGGCAAATATTATACAGATTTAGCGATGAAAATAATACTACGATTCTTCTGTGGTGGGCCATTTTTAATCATTTTCCTTCATATAACTTTAATTTTGTACGGTGAATTGTTACAACTTCTGTACATCTTATTCTTGTAACAGGAATAATTTTTAAATTAATAAATTTCAAAACCACACAATATTTTTAGGAAAGATTTCTAATTCAATTATATAAAGTATATTTTTTCCATCGGAAATAATTTCATCGAGGGGACGAAATTCTATGATGAAAGAAAAGGTTAGCAAATTGTAACTGATTAGATTTTTATATTTTTTCTTCACTCCACAAATGTTTTATATAAAAGATTTTTTCATCGACAATTTTACAGGGTACCGAATGTTGAACTCCCGAATAACGAAACAAGTTGAGGGATGAAATTGACGATAAGAATCCTCTTCGTTGACGTTGATTACGCTATCGTTCTTCCCTGCTGGATCGTATATTCGTGATGACGATGAAAGTCCTTTATCGCTTAGCTTATCTTAGACCTCCCCAACACAAACTTTACCAGAACGTGCGCACATTGTGTGCGGATACTTGCGA